ATTTTTAAAAGAATTTCAATTTGTGTTGTGTGTTTGATATATGTACAGAATTTCTAAGTATGGGTGTTCACACCTATAACATTAAAAGGTCACATGTTTTAAGGTTTGCCCAATCCCCTTGGGGTGGGGGGAACCCTCTTATAAACTTTGCTCCACCATATTTAACTATGAACATGTTTTGGCGGTCATTTGGCTGTTAATAAATCGAGTAACATGTCAGAAAAACAAGATCCCATGGTTAAGAAATGCTTGTACAACATTTTATTTTTATGCTATAAGTAATATTTGCTTGAAATCAGATTAATTTAACTTTAAATTTGCTAATTTTACTCAAATAATGTTTTATAAATATATATTTCATTTTTGCTAGATTTTTAAAAGTGAGAATTAACTTTCGTTTAGAAATGTGTCAAATAGACCTTTTCATCGATTTTACTGGAAAAAAAATCGATTTCAATCAATATAAAAAAATTCTGTTTAAAATACACCACAAAGTATTTTGCTGACTGGAAATAGTAAATTTTAAATTCTTTAGCTTTCAATTAAAACTAAAAGGAAAACTTCAAGAAGGCTTTTTCATTTAATTAGTATTTTTTAATTACTATTTTTGTTTGGTACAAGATTTTCCCTTTTGATAGCACGTTTCCATGCATAACTTCTTCTTATCATTTTGATAATTTCCTTTGCATTTTGGAACAGTGCAACCATATGGCATTTTTTTTGTAAATTATTTCAGTAAAAATATTTACGAAACAAATAAAAAAATCAAGCTGAGTCAAACTCAAACAATAAAAACTAATGAAACTTCGAGTTTAGTAACGTGTCAACACATAAAAGATGTCTGGTATTGGGTTTTATACAAACTAAGGGAGGTAACTCTAAAACCCAAATTTGAGTTACTTCCCTTATATGCAATCACAGTTTTTCCGGATGTCTATTTGTCTCGACGGGAACATATTGTTGCCGTTGAAATCCATCCACTAAACCTCTGTAGTACTTAGGCTTGTGTTTCGTCCCATCTACTTCAGTTTTATCCACAGCTTGTTTTTAACCGGCTTCACTTTCACTATCCAGTTAATATGACGTAACATAAACCCACCGTCTTCCTAAACAGTTCGCCATTAGATATTTTGTTTGGCCACTAAACATATTTCAACCATTTTCATGTCATTTTTTTTCTTTTTTTAATCATTTAGTGAAAATATGGTAATTGAGAGGTCTGGCCATACACAGTCTAATAATAAAAATGAAACTACTCTCCATACACACGAAAACAATATTCTTTCTATCCATCTGCTGTCTGTCACTCCCATTCAATCTGCATTGTTAATCAGGTTTTTACTATACAAACATGCAAGGGGATGGGAGAGAAGTATAAACAGTTGAGCAGGTAGAGATAGCTCACATCCACCAGCCCTGTCTATAATGCTGTGGAGAGCAAAAGGTCAAAATTGAATTACAGCAACAAAACATAGGAGGAGTCACATTTGATCAAACTGTGAAAACTAAAAGACATGGCACATAAAAGAATCAACAGTACAAGTTATGTCAACTTTTAAAAAACTTTTCTTGTTTTTAAATCATTTCACACCCAAGCAAAGTGATAAAGTCACTAAAACACAAAGGAATACTGGGAGTTAAAAAGAATGAGAAGACTTTATTAGGGAGAGAAGACAATAAAAGAAGAGGTTCCAGGAAGACAGAAGATGGTGATAATGCCACTAAGATGCAAGGGGGTAATGGGAATGAAAGAGAATGAGAAGACTTTAGTGAGGAGAAAGGACAATAAATGAACAAGCTTCAGAAAGATGAAAAATGGTGAATGACGTTGCATTTAAATTTTTGAATATTGTAGATGGCAGGGAAGCAAGAAACTGGAAGAGTTCCACAGGCGAGAAGTGTGAGAAAAGAAACTATTAAAATAGAAGTTAGTTACATCTAGCTATTTCAACAGTAAAACTGTCAGACATATCTGCCAATCTAGTAGTACACTTAAATTCATGCAGCTGAGGTACCAAGCAGGAAAGCTCATCAGAACAATTGCCATGAAAATATTTATGGAAAAGACAGAAGGAAAGTGAGTGAAATGGACCCTTCTTTAGATTTTGTTGATAATCTTGATATATATATATATATATATATATATATATATATATATATATATATATATATTTTTTTTCAGAGTTAACCTGTAGAAATAGACAATATTTATAAATGTAAAAGACAATAGGAAAACTAATATTACAGTTTTCCTATTGTCTTTTACAGTTATAAATATTATATATATAGATAGATAGATAATATTCATATTTATCTGTATCTCACTCATTTAAACCGTCTTTTAACTCCTCTCTTTAAAACTTCTCTCTGTTAAATTTTAATCCCCACCTTCACTTTTAGGCCTTCCTGTTCTTCTCTTATCTGTTACCCCTCACTAGAGCTTTCATTTATCTCTCACATTTGTCCCCCACTCTTATATATACACTCTCACTAAATTTATTCCTGGAGTTATTTTTTCCGATTTCTTTTGAATTTGTAGATCTGATGAATTGGATCATATTTACGATTCCAATGTAATAAATTATAACCATTGAAGCTTTTTTAATATATATATATATATATATATATATATATATATATCTGGAGCACCAGGCCAGATCTGGCATCATTTTCTTCTTGATTCTTTTTCACCAAACTTCAGTAGGACACTTAACATTGTTTTGCTAACCTGGCCTTCGTTTCAAGGCTGAATTCCAATATTTTAAGAAGTGACTCTATTTAAATTTAGGAATGCTATTTAAATTTCATCTTATGAAATTGAAAGCATATATTATAATATACTTATTGAGTGCAGAGATCTTTACTCTATATGGATGTCATGCATGACGTCCAACTAATTCAGAAATTCAAGTTCACCATTACTGAATAAATCTTATCTCGCTATCATGAGAATGGATTTAATAAAGGTTGGTGATTCTTAAAGAATCTAATGTATACTTAACTGCCACAACTGGTGTTGGCATAAAAATATCTCTGAATTGACATGTGGACAGCCTCCAAACATAAATAATACCTACTAGACATACACACAGACACACTCTCATTCTTATCCAAATCCTGCATAGACAAACTAGGATTATAATATATGTACACATATAAATTATGTGCATGCCCTGCTTGACTAGTCAAATGTACTTGAAGTCTACTTAACCAATAAAAATCAAACAAAAAATGCACAAAGAAAAATGGAAAATTTTTTCCATACCTCATTTGCTGATGAAGCTTTAATAAAAGCAAAACATGTTAGATTTATAAACGGTTCCTCTTCATTCCTTATCCTATCATTGTTGGATTCTAATCTGTATTTGATCCCAATTCATATATACCATGTGTGATGGGTAAATTGTTGCCATTTTATATTTTTAAGTCTGTCCATTGTTTTTGATTTTGTCTACTGCACGACATAGTAGGGTCAGTTTGGCCCTATTTTTTTTTTTTTTAAAAAAAGAGCACCATGACACAATTCACTCCACTAGAAATTTGAAAATAACATGCTGTACTGCTTGGCGTTTGTGATGGAAACTCCAATGCAAACATTTCAGAGTGTTTTGGTGTTAATCTGAGGACAGTGCAGAGGATTTAGAAAGAATTGGATGAGTCTAATGGTGATTATGAAGGTACAGCATCTTGGAAAAGTCACTCTGATCATTCTAATGAATCATCTCATGACTTGGTTGGTGAGGGCCTTAGACTCAACACGGAGGCTTACATAAAGTGCCTTGAGGATGTAGTGCTGCTCTTAGTCAAGAGGGTGGCTGCTGGAAAACCTTGTGTCTGGCAACAGGACTCTGTACTATGCAACACTAGCAGGAGAACCAAGTTGTGACTGTCAGACAATTTCTGCAATCACATCACCACTTACATTTGGCCATCTGACTCACTAGACTGCAACCCCTTGATTACTATGTGTGCAGTTGAGTGAGAGACCAACAAAACTCCTTGTAATACCAATGATGAACTGAAGCCAAGGATTATGTCAGCATTCACCAACTTAAACAAGGAGACTGTTTAGGAGATTCTAAAGTTGTCTGGAGGCTGTGGTTGAAGTCAATGGTGATTTTATTGAATAAACTTACTCTTTAGTATTTCAAGATATTTTTGTGTAATTTGTTAAATATATCTGTTAAAATGAGATGTAAGTCACGTTATTTTCATTTTTGCATAATTTAGATGACAATTTATCCATCGCAGCCTGTATATATGAATCCAGATTCATATTTATATATAATATATATATCTATGTACATAAATCTGGCAATGATAGTATGAGGATCAAATAGAAAATGGATATAAATTTAACATGAGTGCCAGAAAAGCTTTATAGGTGAAACCTCCAGAAACTTAAAAGCTCCCATCTATAAACATAAGAGACCTATGTTGGAACAACCCCCTGAACTCACTTGTAACACACAAGTAAAAAAAGCTATAAAGTTGATTTAAAATAGAAAGCACTACCCTCATAAAAAAAGGACATTTATGTAGAAAATACTTAAAAGGAATCCTGATTATTACTTTCCTGTTGATAAACATATTTCAAACACACTTTATTATATCACCAACTTTCATAAAATTCTTTACTTAGAGAATATAAGATCAGGAGCCTGGATGGGACAAGGGCTTTGCCAGTCCTCAAAAAGCAACTGGTCAGTTTGCCTCCTGGAGGCTAACTCACAGACTGACCACTTTCATTACTCTATGCAGTGATGTCATTAAGTGGCTGTCACATGACCCACATGATTCCACCTCAACCAAATGGAGATGATCACCTTTTGTATCATTACACCTTCATTCTGGGACAATACACTCTTCATTATTACTATTATTTTTTTATTACTCTATTTTTGAAATTTGTAATGTTTTTAAATGTGTTAGAAAGAAATCCTTAAATATAAATTTTTTAACATTTCCTTGAACTCTACATTTTTGTTCACTTTTTTCAGGTTTATCTACTGATAAAGGATCCTATCTTCCATGAGGTAAATATTGATTTATATATATATATATATATATATATATATATATATATAATAAGAAGGAAATTACTGAAATTAATATATATATATATATATATATATATATATATAATTATTTATTTAGAAAATTTATAACATAAACATGTTATAAAATCACTACAAAGATAGCCATTTTGTTTCAACACTCCTGGTGTCTTATCAAGTGATGATGTTGAATGTAAAATAAAATCACTATAAATATATATATATATATATATATAAAAACATGTTATTGCTTATTTATTTTTGGCAATTCTTTCTTTTGATTTACAGTGGAGATCATTTAATTTTTCAATAATTTTGTTCAGCTATTTTATTAAACTTTTTTAAAATATAATTTTTTCTCTTTATATATATATATATATATATATATATATATATATATATATATTTTATTTTCAAATAAAGCAATTAAAACCACAAAGATGCAAAGGCTTACTGATGTTACAAGATGAGATCTTGCCCTGCTTCGATAAACGGAAGTTACCATCACGAGTCCCCGACTCGAAATGAAAACTACACGTCTACGACAGGCTCGATGCAATACTTCCGTTTGGGATAAACTCGAAAAAAAAATGAAAAGAATTATTAAATCAACCAATCGGACTGTCTCCCGCGTATTCAAAAAATTGCCATTGGAGCCGATAGGCGTGTATAAGTTCAACACAGGAAAGTCAAAAGGCGTGCCACTCAACGGCGGAGGCAGAAGGGGTCACGTCGCCGCTCCTGACACACTGGCCCGGGCGAAGAAAATCAGCATGTGACCGCTGCTGTTAATGAACTCTCGTCCGGCGCCTTGTCAAAGGTACCTTTCCTCAACTTCTTAAATACGAACTTTTTTACTTGTTCGTATTTTCCTCACTAAAAGAGACTATAAAATATATCTACAGTCTTTCTTGTTCTTTCGATTCTGAATTTCATTGTTTGCAACCAAACGCAGTATTTCGCCCACATTGTTTTCACATCGCCCACGTAACTAAATACGGAATATAACACTGAGTCTTAAACAATTTGAGAATAAAAAAAGCACAAGAATTAAGAAGACAGAAAATAACATTTGATATTGCATTTAATTTTTTGAAGATCAAAGTTAACTGGAAAGCAAGAAGCCAGAAGAGAGTTCCACAAACGAGAAGTGCAATAGAAGAAACTTAGCATAGAATTTATGATTGCATTTAACTATATCAACTTCAAAATGATGAGACCTTGCTGCCAATCTAGTATTGCACTTCATGAGGTGGTATTATAGAGGAAAGTTTATCAGAACAATTACCATGAAAGTTTCAATTTGAAACACCACTTCCTGTATGATCACCAAAGTTAAGCAACATCGAGCCCGGATAGGTCACCCATTGGAAATAACAAGTACTGTAAGCTTGGTTGTGAAGGTGGTGTAATAAATAGATGTAATAGAGTAGGGACGAGAACATTTAATTTTGTTGATATTGATGCTTTTAACACAGGGTTCGGCAATTTCCAATAGCATGCAGTCACAAAAGACTTCACAAAGTCTGAACCAATAACTACTACAATGCAAAGAAGATATTTAGCTATTTCAATTTTAATATATACTAAAGTATATATACTATATATTACTATATAAAATATATTGTAGAACAGGTATATTGACCTTGACTTGTATAAAAATACGTGTGCTGTTGGCACACTGAATGATTTTAAAGCCTTAAGGCGGCACATAGTTAGCAAAAGGTTGCTGACCCCAAGCCTAGTGGATTAAAGTGATGATTTGTGAATTTAATGACATAGGGATTGTGAGTTCAACCACTGGTCAGGGCAGTGTGCACTTGGACTGATGCTTACCTCCAGGATTGCAACTCTTTGCACCCTCTTGGGCTCATGTTTTCTACTGACATGAAATGGAATGATTATATTGAATTGTCTACTAGAAAAGTTGGTTCACTGTGTTATGCCAAACAATTTTTCTTGTCTGAATCCATCTTGCACATTGACAAATCTGCCATTTGTCTGTGCATTGAATATTGCTGCCATATCTGGTCTGGTACTCCTGCTGTATATCTTGAGATTCTTGTCAAAAAAGCCTGTAATGTAATTGATCTTGCATCTTTACTTCAGTTACTTTCCCATCGCCATGATGTGGCTTCTGTCTGTCTTTTCTACAAATATTTTCATGACAATTCTTTCTGATGAGCTTTCCGCCTCGGTGCCTTGACTGCATGAAATTAATCATGTTACTAGATTGGCAATTAGGTCTCACCATTTTACTGTTGCGCTAGCTAGATGCAACCATATGTTCTATTTTAATAGTTTTTATTCTTACACTTCTTGCCTGTGGAACTCTCTTCTGGTTTCTTGCTTCCCTTCAACTTATGATCTTCAAAAGTTTAAATGTAATGCCAATTGTCATCTTCTGTCTTCCTGAATTCTTTTCTTTTATTGTTCTTTCTTGTCATGAAAGTTTTCTCATTTAGTAACCGTTTATGTCCTATTAGTTTTATTTCTTCACTTATTGTGAAATGACTAAAAAACAAAAAAACAATCATATCAACCCCAAGCTGAGTGAGACGAAGGGAGATTGGGTGAAAATTAAAATAGTGTTCATTCTTTGCTAGCCCTGTTTACATTATTCAGTTGAGAGTTCCAATTAAGTCATCCTGGGTATGATGATAAACTATATTTGGCAGCAACACCTGATCAGAAGAGTGGAGATTTTGAGGATTATGGAATCACCTCTTAATTGCTGTTGTTCCTAGGTTCACCCTGACCTAGGAACAGTCAACACTAGTTGAGTGCCTCTGAGGAGTCAGTACTGAACAAGGGTTTCAACTTCGCCACAACCATAAGGCGGACACCATACTTGAACATTATTGCATGAATTGAGGAAATAGCCTTGAACATCCCTCAGGCTCAGGCAGGTGAGCTAAGATGGAAAGTGAGAGAGATAATGGAGAAAGCTAAGCCACCCAAATCAAACATCACGAAACTGAATAGGTTGGCATTTATAACCCTACAGAGGGATGAAAACTTCATCATAGTACCAGCTGACAAAGGCAATGTGACTGTAGTGATGGACAAAATGGCATATACAGAAAAATTGGAGGACTTCTGTAGAAAAAAAAAATGGTGATGAGAGGGGTGGGGGTCAAAAAGTGCAGTGCTCGCTGGCAGGCCAGCTATTCTTTCTTTCTTCTTCAGTTGCCTCAAGGAAATGGATTGCATGACTCCCTTTCTCAGCCGTTACACTGGTCAGTTGTGAAACAGACACCAACTCAGCTGCGCCTACTTTGACTTCCTCTTTGTCTGTCAATTTGTACGTTCAGCTCTATTGCACACAGTATGCCGAATGACTCCTGTTCTGTTGTGCCGCTGGCATCCCACTTTTTATGCTATTCCCATACAGCCAAAATTTGTATGTGTGCAAATATCATCTCGTTTTGGACAAGATATGCGTGTATAAATTGCATCTTCAATGGCGGCCATATTTCTTTTTATCATCACCATGCAGGCAAGACACGTTTGCGCTCGTTTCAAATTCTGAGGTAAGTCATGTCTTTTGTCACAACTGCATTAGAAATGGTAGCTAAAGTAAAGAAAGATCCAACAATGAAAACAGAACAGAAACTGTCGCAGATCCTAATCAAAAACAAGGACCACTTCCCACCCAAGATATACAGGCAGTTGTCACAGCATTACACCAAGCTACCTCATATATACAGTGACTCCAAAATTCACAAAGACTGTATTCTGCGCTGGCCAATTGTTAGCTGCCAAGGCTGTGTGTGCCACTTTCCGAGTTGCTTCCTTGTAGACATAGTTGATCCACTAATAGGAAAGTCACCTTCATATTTCCAAAGCTCTGCCTACTTTGTGGAAATAATCATAGATGCTCCCATCCAATCCAACCAGATGGTGAGCCTGAACATGGTAAGTTTATTTACCAAGGTCCCAATGGACAAGGCACTATCAGTCGTAAGGGACTGACTGGCCTTGGACTCATCCCTAGAAGAACGTACCAGTATACCAATAGATAACCTGATGGAGATGCTGACTTTCTATTCACAAATAGGACACTTCGGAATGGGATCAGACATATATTGACAGGATGAATACTTAGCAATGGGCTTGCTATTTTCACCAGCAAACATATACATGGAATATTTTGAAGAAATGTCATTAGAATTTACATCACTAAAGCCAATCCTATGGCTGATTACTTCATAGGTCTTAAGAAAATTAAATTTCCACATTAAATGATCCATGTCAAGTTAAATTAAAAACACTTAAATCTCAAATCCAAGTTGAAATATGTGTGAATAAAATAATATTTCAGTGAAGTAATTTTTAGCTGGACTCTGTATATTTTATTTTTTGCTAATTAGTATTTTTTGTTTTTCAGGCTGCTTATGGATTACTTGTGATCTGTTTGGTCATAGTTTCCTTTAGAGTGATTAGGTAAGTAGAATTGGTTAAGTTATTTCAGATGTCTGAAGGAATCGGTGCATATGTTAAGCTATGAGCACCTCCTCAGTAGGCCTAGCATAAAAATAAGTGCCATAAGGGAGGCATTAATAAATAAATTTGTAAAAATTACAGCAAGGCTTCAACAAAAACAGTAGCAAGTCTGTCAAAGTCTACCTTGTTTATGCCAACCTGACTGGCATAACCAAGGCTGTTGAGATCATGTAGATCTTTACCTATTTTGCCATTGAGGTCTTCCAGAGTTGACTGGATTCAGTCTGGTCCTTCCTCTTTGACTAGGAGTTGCTTTCAGATGAAATTTATAGTTACAGTTACTCGTTATGTGTTTATTTAAATTTTCTTCTTCACAGACACTTATGAATAAAAAAAATTCTTTTCATATTTATTTCTTTGTAAAATGGTAAATAATAAATATTTCATGATAGTTGGTTCACATACTTTTATAATCTTGTAAACATAAAATTATTCTCATAAATAAGCTAATAAATAGTGTTTAAGAATAAAGAAAATGTATAAATTCACTTTCATATGTCTGGGTTTTATTAAAATTCTAATCAACACTTTTTTAAAACAATAAACATTGTCAAAGGAGGCAAAAGTGCATACAGTAATAACTGTCTTTTTAAAACACTGTTATTTGTGGGCACGAAGGTTAAACTTTACCAGTGTTTCTTTATTCCTTTTATAATGATTCCATCATTACTTTTTTATTTTTCCTAAGCTTTACTTTCAATATTTATTTATTGCATTAGTTTTGATACAATTGTATTAGTTTTTAGTATTATAAATATAAAATTATTCTGATAGCAATTTAATAAATAGAGCTTAACATCTTTGTTGTCATTTCTCAAAAATAAAGAACATGTATAATTCCACATTCATATATATGAGTTTTATTAAAATTCTAATCACTACTTTTTAAAACGATAAACATTGCTGAAGGAGTCAAGTTTATACATTAATAGCGGTGCCAAGGGAATAACCATTTTTTTTTCTTTTATAGACACAAAAGTTAAAGATTGCCACACTTCTTTAATACCTAAATATTATATAATCATAAATTATAAATAATATGTAATCATAAATTATATTTTTAATCCTAAATATTTACTGTTTTCTTTGGTGATATGCACCTTATTTACTTTCCACCAGAACTGCCTTTCATTCATTCATTTTGTTTTTCTTTTCTTGTGTTTAATAACCATTTTTTATGTAAATTACAAATTTCATAGATATATTTTTCCATTGTCTTAACTGTTAATTTTTCTTTTTTCAAGTTGATTTTTATTTAGCAGGTTCTTGTCATTGTAACAACTTTAATAAAAGATTGTTTTTTTAAATTAGCTTTTGATAATGCCTCACATAAAAGGTGTGAAACGTCAGCATGAAAATAAAAATGTTTGACATCCAACTGGTTTTCACATATTCCATCTTATATATTTTGTTTGCAGATTTCATATTAATCATTTATGATATATATTTACCCCCCAGGATTTTGAATCCGTCTGCCAGGAAGAGCCAACTAACCAATAGTTCTGGCTCTGCTGAGCATATAATAAATAGTAGGAAATGTGTGGTTAATTTTTTGATTTTATCTAGGTCCCACTCCACATTTCACTTCAAGGTTCTAGAGTCCTTGTATATCAGACCCCGTCGGCCTTACCCTTTGTAAACAGAGGGAATGCTTACTGGGTCTGAATATTATTGGACTCTAGTTTCTTGAAATTCATTTTTTTTTCTCTTCCATTCCATTCCATTTGTTAATTAAAATTAATTTACACACTTTTTAAATTTTCTATTCCCAGAAAAATAAACTTGATAAGTCCTGTGACGAAACCGGTTGTTTTTTTTTTTTTAGCTTTTTCTTTTAAAAAATGCCTCATAAATTTTGTCTTTTCCTATTATTAAATTTTGTACCACAAAAAACTTATTTAAATATATATATATTTACACACACACAGACACACACACACACATACAGAGGACGCAATGGGTAAATTGTTGCCATTTTATATTTTTAATTTCATGCATGCATTTTGTGTTTGATTTTGTCTGCTGCACAGTATAGTAAGATCAGTTGGGCCCATCTGTTAAAAAAAAGTGCCATGATACAATTTACTCAGCCAGAAATTTGGAAACAGCATGCTGTACTGTTTGGCATTCGCACCAGGAGCTGTAATATGAAAATTTCAGAATGGTTTGGTATCAATCTGAAGACAGTGCAGTGGATTCAGAAAGAGTTGGATGAGTCTAATAGTGATTATGAAGGTGTTTGGAGAGATCAGTAGTGATGGCGATGTTACCACAGGTCTCAACATGGAGGCCTCTATCAAGGGCCTTGAGGAAGTAGTGCTGCTCTCGGTCAAGAGGTTGGCTGCTGGAAGACCCTATGTCTGGCAACAGGACTCTGCATCATACCACACAAGCAGGAGGGCCCAGTCATAGCTGTCAAACAATTTCTGTGACTACATCACTCCTTACATCTGGCCACCTAACTTCCCAGACTGCAACCCCATTGATTATTATGTTTGGGGCACAGTAGAGCAAGAGGTCAACAAAACTCCTTGTAACATCAAAGATGAACTGAAGGCAAGGATTATGGCAGCATTCACAAAATTAAACAAGGGGACCACCCAGAAGAGTTCCAGGAGATTCTGAAGTTGTCTGGAGGCTGTGGTTGAAGCCAATGGTGATTTTATTGAATAAATTTACTCTTTAGTATTTCAAGATATTTTTGTGTAATTTTGGTAAATATATCTGTTAAAATTAGATGTTGGTGTTATTTTCATTTTTATGTAATTTAGAGTACAATTTATCCATCACACTCTACTATATAGACACTAAGCACATTTAAACAGGACTTCATATTTCACTGAATACATTATTTATATTTGAACTAATGTCCTCCTCATGACATTTCAGCTGTTGTGGTCTCCAGCCTTCTTCAGTAGTCTGTTGTTAACCTTCAAGCAATTTCAACCTAAATGTTTGGTTTAATCTATGTGGATATATAATTTTTGTTCTAAGGCTATATTTATGGGTTTAAAGTGGTCAGTATCAGGGATAGTACATATATAAATACAAAAGTCAACATTGAGGTTGACTCCCAGTGGCAACAGTTTGTTTAATGCTTTAAATGGGCCTAAAGATTGCATTTAAGCATGAAACAGACTCTATTGTCACCGCTGGGTGTTGACGTCAATGTCCACTTATAAATATGTGTAAAGTGGGATCAAATATAAATTGGAATCTTATAGGATAAAGAAAAAATAGAAAAGGACACATGGCACTGTGGATAAAGGCGTTAGTTAGATCCAGTGACAGGACCAAAAGAGTGTGAGTTCAATATCTGGTTAAGGCAGTGGAGAACTTGGAGAGGGAATGAAGCAGGAGATAACTGACATCCATTACATATGGCCCATGGAACTAGAACAGTCTACCCCAGTGAGCGAAATAAAGGGTTCAGTTTGACATTTCAACCACCTGAAGAAGGCTGGAGTATACAATGGCTGAAACGCTGTGATAAATATGGCAACAAAGATGAAGGCAATAGTCCGAATGATGTAAATAGTGTACATAATACCTCATCTCAGAAATACAGACAGATACTGAAAGGCCGAAATGTTGTGATAAATATGGCAACAAAGATGAGGACAATAATCCGAATAAGTAAATAGTGTACACAATACCTCATCTCAGAAATATAGACAGATATTGAAAGGCTGAAACGTAATAAATATGGCAACAAAGATGAGGACAATAGTCCGAATAATGTAAATAGTGTACATAATACCTCATCTCAGAAATATAGACAGATACAAATAGAAAATGTTTATAAATTTCATGTTTTGATTTTATTTAACCTTCTTCCTCTGAGAATAAAATATAGAGGAGAAAAAAGAAGAAAATTGTATTTTTAAATTTTTTTTTTTTTTCATTAGTTAAGCAGACCTCATGTGTATCTCTTGTCAAGCAGTGTTTATATGTATAATTTGTGTGTATGTGTATCATAATTCTAGTTTATGTGGGATTCGGATGATGTTTATTCATATATTTGTTTATGTGTGGACATTTTTTATGATATATAATACCAGAATTTTCTTTAAAAAATGCCTAATGAATGCACACTCACACACAAATGAATATTCATTATCATCTGAATCTCACCCATCTTGGGTAAGACAATAAACTATATCCATCAGAAAGGCCTCTGTTCAGGAGGTCTTGAGGATCATGGAAGCACCTCTTAAGTGCTGGTTTTTCCCAGGTCCACCCTGACCCCGCATGGTAGCACCTGTCAGCTATGGGGAAATAGTTAACCCCTAAATTTGGGGTCAAAACAGTATGAAAGTGTAAAAATAGGTTTTAATACCAGAAATATTTTGTAAAAAAATTATTACCAGCAATACATTATTACCAGCAATACATTTTTTTAAAAAAAGATATTACCAGCAATACATTATTGAAAAAAAAATATTACCAGCTGTGTATTTTGAGGGGGTGGGGGTGAAAAGAAATAACCAGCAATACATTTTTTAAAAACAATATTACCAGGAATAGATTTTTGAAGAAAAAATATTACTAACAATACATTTTTTGGGAAAAAAAAATGTAACCAGCAATAAAAATTTTGTCAGCATAAAATAACCCATTGACATGCCGTATAACAAACCAAACCAAACTGAATCGCACATAAACAATCTAGAATTGATATACATTGTTGAATGTATAAAAAATATTACACATGCTTATTTTTTTTAATCAAGTTTTCCCAAGCAAAGCAGTAAAGCTGCTAAAGGCACAAGTGGTTACTGGGGGGTGAAAGAATGAGAAAACAGAAACATTACAAAGAAGAAAGAACAGTGGAAGAGTAATCAGGAAGACAGTAGATAATGATTGACATTGCATTTAAATTTTTACAGATTAATGTTGGCTGGAAAGCATGTAGCCAGAAGGAAGTTCTACAAGCGAGAAGTGTGTGAAAAGAAACTGTTAGCATAGAACTTACAGTTACATCTAGCCAATTCAACTATATATCAATGAGACCTCCTTTATGATACCCCAGAAGAAGTCAATTCTCGCTTTTGACAAAACTATGTTTAATCTGTGGCATTAAAAATATATATATATATATAATATATATATATATATATATATAGTTAATGTGACTTCCTATACTTCCAGTTTTTAGGGATGCCTTGTATATTGATGATATTTCTTAAAAATATTTAATAATTTTTTTTGTTTTTTTTGTAGGCAATGTGAACATAATTTACCATTAGTTATTTCTGGTATATTTATATACCTATTTGGATTTATTCTCTGGAACATTGATAATAATTTTTGTCCACAGATTCGGTAAGTTGATTTCTCTTTTCAACTCTTAAAATGCGTTTGTGTCTTGATAACATTACATGACACTCACAATTGTGTAAGGGAATTCTGATTTTGTTTTTTAGGCATTCTTTGTTTTTTCACAGCCAATAAAACAAACGCACACACAAAAATGTATTCAAATAATACTATACTTTGCATCTTAGTGGCTTGCTTGCAGTGAAATGATTAAAATAAAAAAATTATAAGACTGATCTCTTTAACTGTACAAATGAGGATTACAGTCTGTGGAGTAATTGAACATGGTTAAATGTAAAAATGCTCAAACGGATTTGGCTATAAACATTAAGAAAGGAAGAAAAAGAACAGGTTAAAATAATACTAACCAAATGAAGATTAATATAAGAAATTTTGACGTTTTTTTCGTGGTAAAAAACACATTGATTTGGTAATTCTTGCAAAAATCAAATAATTATCAGATTGTACTGAAACTTTGTGGATTTATTCACAAATGAATGAAATTATTTTAGAAATATATTTCCTTTTAATATCTGTTACCTGTTCACCACATATTTAATTTTAAGGAATTTTGAGAAAATTAAATTTTGACACCCCTATAAAGTTTATATTAGTTAAAAGCAGTAGTCCTTGGAGAATTTAAATCTCAATTTTTTTTTTTTGTAAAACAGATACACCAGTTACCAAAATTCTGCTTTGAATCATAAAAAAAAAAAATGCAATAAAACTAAGACATTATTTTGTTAGAAAAGTTTTTAATTACTTTTATGAATTAAGAACACTATTATCATAAAAAAAATTAATTGAATAATGAATTTTTACAAGAATTGTTTTCATTTTCCTTTTTTTTTTTTTTTTTTAATTTATATTAGAATAATTTATAAAGTTTAAAATTTTTAGATTTCTACATTACTTTGACACCATCAGGTGATATTATGGAAAAGCTTAGTACAAATCATCAAACACCAATATTTTTTTAAAAGAATTTTGAATTATTTTTGTATGTGTATAAACGTGATGATTTTTGTAGATACAGCAAAAACAAGATTTTAAAAAGTTAGGAAAATATTCTCTGTAATCCAAAATTTTATTGAATTTTAGAAATTTTGGCTTTAAATTTACTATAGTCATCACTCTTACTTTCTGATAATTTTGTGTATGGTTACCTGTACTTAAAAAAAAAAAAACGGCATATTTCGACACTAATAAAAAAAATTCAAAATTACTTTTTAAATATTGATGTTTGATGATTTGTATTAAGCTTTTCCATTTATGATTAGTAAATATAGTTTTTACTTTAAGTTAATAATTTCAGAAAAACCACTGAAATTAATACAGAATTTTAAAAGGTTAAAACTTAAATTTTTTAATAAAATTTTTGAAAAATGAAAGCAATTCTTGTAAAAATTCATTGTTCATTATAAAAAATCTTTTTCTTAAGATAAGTGTCCTTAATATAATTTATTTATAAAAGCAATTGAAAGCTTTTGTAATTAAATAATGTCATAGTTTTGATTCAGAGCCAATCTTCGGTAAATAGTGTTTCTGTTTGACAAAAACAAATTGAGGATTTAAATTCCCCAAGAAGCCCTGCTTTTAACTAATATAGTTTTACTTTCTCAAAATTTCATAAACATAAGTGGGGGAAACAGATGTAAATAGAAAAAAAAATATTTTTACCAAGATTTTCTAAAAAAAACCAAAAAAAACATGAAAAACATGAAAAAAAAAATTATTTAAAAAATAATTTCATTCTTTTGTAAATAATTCTGGAAAATTTAATTAAAATCTGACAATTATTTCATTTTTACAAGAATTTCCAAAATGTGTTTTTAACACTAAAAAAGAAGCTAAAAATCCAATTCACCTGTTGATGCAAGAAAAACAAGATTTTTAACCAAAATTTCGAATGTGCTAGAAAGGATTAAAAATTTAATAAAATATTCAAAAAATACTTTGGTCTTTCCTTAATAATAATATTCATAAAAATTTGTTTTTAACAAGTTTGTAGCCTTTTTTCATCATGGCATGCTCTTTTTTAGAAATTATTTGGAGATACCTACATCAAACGTTATTTTTAGTATTTGATTAGACGCTTCGTTTTATTTTAAACTGAAACAGTATTTATTTCGTCTCGCCGGAGAACACATTTTCTTAAATTTTTTCGAGTGTGCAGGCCAGAAGAAATAAAAAAAAAAAAAAAAAAACTGAGCCTCTCTACTCAAATATAGGTAACAACTAAAAATAACGTTTGAAGTAATCAAAACTGATAGATATGGATATATTATTCGAAATGGGTTTCCGTATAATTCAAATACAAGGTTTCGAATGCAAAACTAATCACGAAAGAAAAGAAAACAGGTTTGCATTTTTTTTAAAAGTAATTTACATGACATTTCTGATGGGTTTGAAATTAGTCTAAGGGAGATAACTCTGCCTATTACCTGATGATAATGAATTATCTTTCCTTTGTTTATTCTTTCACGGAACAGCTTCTTACGTGCAAATAGAGGACGGTTTATTATTGAATAAAAAACAAAAATAGAAAGACGAGATAAAAAAAGGGCGTGGTTTTTTTTTTTTTTTTTTAATTTTAATTTTATTTGAGTCATTTATAGCTTAGGTCTCAAACACAGGCCGCGGACGATCTTTTTACGGCCCGCGTGAACCAATTTTCAAGATACCAACCAATGTTTTCTTCAATATTTAAAATTTATTAAATTTGCCACTCGCCCAATGCTTTTGAGTTTGACCTACCCTTAAAAATGCAAACAGATTTTAAGATCAGCAAGCTCTATCCCTCCAATGAAGGGAAGAAAAGTCGGTTAATTTGTAGTAAAAGCACCACGGTAATGGAAATGTTCCATCATGGTGTGAAATTGCCTGATTATTTCGAAAATGACATGTTTCCGCTCTATTACTGTTTAGGAGTTATGAACAATGAAAGTTCGACTTCTTTCGCATCGCGTTGACAGAACGGCTGCCATTACTGGTTTTGTTTATATACATTTGCCTCGAGTAGTGATGCGGCACGGAAGCTTCACTTGTCTTGATTACTGCGCAATGCGCGAAGTTTAAAAAAGTGAATGAGCGATTCCAAATATAACAGTAAAAAAATAAAATAAATAAAATGAAAAAACTAAAAATAAAATCAAAATTACATGCCCGAAATTATAAAAAAAATTTTCAACGATTTTTTTTTTTTAAATTGTGTCTTGAAAGTTTCCTTAAAATCCGACAATTACAATAGAAATTACGTACGTCCCTGCCTGAAAGAAAAGTAAAAAAAAAAAAATTATATTTTCTTTTCTTTTTTTTCTTTGTTTTTGAAAAAGGATTCACCCATATGACATATTGATTTAGAAAAGCTTTGAATTGTTGAATTGTTTATATAACAAATTTAAACCATTTTTTTTTTTAAAAAAGGATTCATTATTTAATAAAGCTTCACTTCTACAAAGAAAAAATACTTTTAATTGGAAAAAAAGAATTTTTATACCAATTAAAAAAAAAACAAACAAAACTATTCATTTAAAGCTTCATTTTTTTTTTTTTTTTAAAGAAAGCACTTTAACTTTCGCAAAAGGAGAAATTGAGATGCAATAAAAAAACAAAAAAAAACAAACTAAAAATACAACTTACTCAGACTTGAGGAAATGGAAATTTCTTTTTGTCATATGAGCGAGAAGGAATACATTTGACGACGTATTGGTTTGGTGTGTAGCTGAGATGAGAGACAGACTTACACAGTTACACACAACACAAAATGAGGGGTTTTGTTTGTTTTTGTTTTTTTTTATAGCGAGAGAAGGAATAGATTTGATAACACATTTGGGTGGAGCGGGTACAGAAAATGAAATTTTTTTTTTTTTTTTTTTCCTAACGAGAGATTTATTGATTTTATTTTTTGAGGGGTACTGGGGGAGGGCGTATACGAGATAAAAGACAACTATCACAATAGAAAATCCTGTGAGAAAGAGGTTTGAGAGAAGATTGTAAATTAAAATAAGTCAGTTCTATGAAATGGGTGGGCAAACCGCGACCCGGGAGCTACATGAGGCACTTTGACCTTTATTATTCGGCCCGTGGAAATATGTTGACTGAACTCCTTTTTTCATAACAGTTAATAAAAAAGTAAATATAAAAAAAAAATCAACCTTTATTTACTGGGTATGAATTTAAATTTCAGTGTTTGATAATGACTGTTTATGATTTTATAGACTAAAACTGAATTATCTCCCTTGCATCAAATGAATTTGCTGAGTAGGACTAAGAGGAGCCCTTTTTTTTTATATGAAAATTCATTTAAAATAAAAGTAAAAATTGGTTTAAAATACGGCTAGGACCCGCCATGCCACATATAGTAGCAAATCACCCGTATTCCATCGGTGAGAGAAGTCTATTTTATTTGAACAACTTCTTCCCACCGCTGCTTTGTGGTGTGAGAATTTCTTCTCGCACAGTTCAACCCTTGGCAGAGACAAGAAAGACAAACAATTCAACAAGGCCTACCTTAAAACTTAAAACAAATTTTATTGTATCCTTGCAAAAAAAGATTTTGCCCTTTTTTGCCCCTGGGAACAGGGTAGGGTAGTTCTTCAATGGATAGGTAGTGTCTTTTACTTCAGTAGGACACAATTGGTCTCTACGAGGTTGGAGAAGCTGTCATTAGCTGGTCGTTGCAGGAGTTGAAACTCGGCTGTTGTCGAAATCGTTCATAAAGTTCTTCGTGCAAACGTACACATTAGTCGACAGTCATTATGGCTGAATTCTACAGCCTTGAAGGAATTAAGCTGGGACATGAAGTCGTCTCTGAAGCATTACCATTAGGTTGCTGAAAGGAATCTTCTACAGCCTTGAAGGAAATAAGATGGGACATGAAGTCGACTGAAGCATTACCATTTGGTTGCTGAAGGACATTCAATGCCTAATTATTAGGCTTGGGCTTAAAGGCTGTGCAAAGAAATTCAAAATTGAGTCCGGACCATTCCAATAATATTCCGCAA